TACTCGGAGAAAAACCCGCCCCAGTGCCACTTTGTCCACCACAAATCCCACTTGGCCAGACCCGGGATCGAAACCGGGCCGCCGCCGTGGGATGTCAGCGACTAACCGCTTGAGCTATGGCACGGCCACGTACCGTGTGTAAGTGTGGAAGTTCATGTCTGAAGGGGTATTCCACCTGAAGAAATAATGCGTTGCGGTAGGAGTACAGACGCGTGTTTTTAGAGAGAGAGAGAGAAAAGTATGTCCCAGCACGTCTGCTTTCTCTATCCTCTCGCACCATCACCCCCACTCCTCTCCTACCGTATGACATAAGCAAGCAGTACGCCCACATCGGTGGCAGATTGTAACCGACACTGAACGAAGATCAGTGACAGTTTCACGCTACAGCCGCGTTATTATCTCTGCCCATTTTACAGATGGGCCCTAAAGTCGTTTCGATACCTATAGCGAAGATAAAATCCAACCCCATTGCGAATCGTTCTGTTGTAACGTGCTAAAATTTATGAAAACTTCATATTTTGCATTAAAGCGACTGCTTTGTTTTTTTTTTAAATAAATATTAGCAGATGACGATGAAAATTGTACAGACAGTCCAATTTCAAATAACATGAAATTGTTTTTAGAGTATATCTATCTATGGTTCTACAGCCCTTTGTTGGGCCTTGGCCGATTTTCAGTTCCTTAGTCCTGTACACTGTCGGTAGGACTCCTTGGGCGGGTGATCAGCCCATCGCAAGGCCACTGCCTATACACAGAACAACACAAACACAGAACAGACACACACAGACATGCATGCTTAGAGTGGCATTGTAGCCAACGACCCCAGTGTTCGAACGGGCGAAGTCTGTTCATGCCTCAGACCGTGCGGCCACTGTGAACGTAAGAATGTATTTTTGTTCTTCCTCTTCGCTCCCACTTTTGAACCTAGGGCTGATTTCTCAGTTTCAGTGTTCATTTTTACAGACCGGTAGGACTCATTGGACGGGAGATCAGCTCGTCGCAAGGCCTCTACCTAAGCACATGACAACACAAGCACAGAATAAACGCAATACACTCACCAAACATCCATGCCTTGTGTGGGATTAGAAACCACGATCCCGGCTTCTCAGCGAGAGAAGACAGTGCGTGTACATGCCTTAGACCGCTCGGCTACCGTCAACGGCTATAGAATGTATACTTACCCAAAAATTATAAAGGAAAAGAAGCAGTTTATAATATCGGAGACCAAGTTTCACACCCATACAGAACCACAGGCAAAGTTATAGTTTTGTATATTATAATTTTTATGGTTTTAGACAGCAGACGAGAAGACAAAAGGTTTTTGGCTGAATGGTAGCAAGCATTACCCGAGTTCAATCTTCTCTTAATTTCCTCCTGAATCCGGTTTTGATTTGTTATCGTCGTTCCCAAATATCTGAACCGTGCCACATTTTCAAAACATCTGTTACCTATCTTAATGTCATGATTTTGCCCTGAATTTTGGTGACGAGACAGGAACATATATTTAGTTATAACAGGAGATAGCTGTATTACATTATTTGAAAACCCATTTACCGACACTTGAGTTGTGGCATGCCACAAACGAACGGAGTGACAGGCTAAACACAGAAAACAATAGAAGCGCCGCACTATTTGCTGAAACACTTAAAAAGGTAATAATTTAAACAGCTGCTGGTCGCTCCTTAAGTATTGGATACATATTTGTGGTGTTACTTTGTTTCCACTAGCGCTGTATTTTTAACCTCTCCGAAGTGTTCTCTGTAACCACGCGAACAAAGTATGGGAAACCTTATTGGACTGCTACAGAAACAACAGAAAGCTTCGGAGTTACTCCGGGTAAGAAGGAAAATATGACCCACCAGAGATCGATTTAAGAAAATTCAGTAACTTATCATTTCATACAATTGCAGCCAAAAATCAATCAACCTGTGACGATGAAAAGAGTAGGTAAGTGTCGATGTCAATTGTGAGTATTCTTTCATAAAGGACTTCTTAAATTCTTCTCTGCTGTGCTGATGATCGTAAATGCAGCGGGAAAACTTGCCGCCCCTCACAGGCCAATTCCCTCATCTCGGTCTAATTTCCATGCTCTGATTTTGCATTGAGACATTATCGTGTTCACGATCACTGTTCTTTTCAAATTCATTTACGAACAACCCGCTGAGACAATTCTCCCTTAACCTAACGTAATGGTTCAAGAGAAATATAAGTCACATAACGCGGCAACACTGAAGAGCATAGCCGCCATCCTAAAGGAGCGCCACTTGTACTGAGTTATGTTCCAATTGATTTCGATTGTGTTTGTAATTATGTTGCCGCCTCTGTGGTCTAGTGGTCAGAGTTCCTGGCTACAGATCCAGAGGTCCCGGGTTCTATTCTCGGCGCTACCAGATTTTCTGAAAAGTAGTGGGTCTGGACCGGGGTCCACTCAGCCTCGTGAGGATAATTGAGGAGCTATTTCAAAGCAATAGCGGCTCCGGTTTAGAAAACCGAAATTAACGGATGTGGGGAACCGTTGTGCTGACCACGTGACACTTCTACCCGCAAAAGTTGGCGACTACGGGCCACGGAGTTTCTTTTGTAATTATGCTACTGACTTCGAAGCATGTTAGGTAAATTATTGCAACTGTTAGTAAATAAAGTTATGATCAGTGTAGATATCAAGCACACATTTACATTGGAACTGCTAAAAATAAAGTCTCAGGAAAAGGGGAACAAGGAATAGCCGAGAAGGAAGCGAATGTCAGTCACTTCGAACAGAATTTCAGGAAACGTCTTATGTCGATGTGAAATGGAATGAACTGGCTCAGGATATTATCCATTCATAGACTCCTGCGTTGATTGGATGAAAATTCGAATTTCATGGCAACAGATTTTCTGGAATAATTCTTCCCAAAGTATACCCCACCGCAACATTCAAAACAGCTTTCCTGTACCTGGGAATCTGAACCATAGTTCAGGCGCCTTTGCGATAATTACGTGTATCATAATGAAATCTCTAGAATGACATTTAGTTAGTTATGACATTTGTCTATGGAACTTCAGTATTTAAAGTAGCTAATTCCATTTAGTATTATCATTCGGAATGAAAGTGTAGACTGATAATTCCAGCTTATTACTGTAAATGTCTGTGATGGTGAGGTGCCGAGGTTTACCTCTGATGTATGGATTTATTTTCAAAACACCGAAGAACACACCTTGCCATATATTTCCGTCTCTTTTGACATTTCAATTAAGTATTTCCAAGGTCTATAGTCCTTCAAAGTCTCTGCTAGCTAAGAAATTCTCGGGCTTCTATGGAACTTGAACGTTCAAGGCCGTGTTCGTAAGAGCCCGCCACCCTTCAATATGCTGAAAGATTTAATGTAGTCCACAAGATATATTTCACTGTTGCCAACCTTTCTACGCGTAGGTCTTTCAAGTGGCCTTTTCTGTTTAGATTTTCTGACAAATATGTCGTACAAATTTCCTGTCCTTCATATGCTTACGAAATGCTCCGCTCATCTCACCCTCTTTAGAAGATCAGCATAATATTATTTTACGAAAAGTAGAAGTAATGACCACCGATCACGGTAGCCCACCGGTCTAAGGTATGTACTCTCTTCGCGCGCTTGGAAACCGGGATCGTGGGTTCGAATCCCACTCAGGGCATGGATGTTTAGTTTGTGTGTGTGCGTTTTTCTGTGTTTGTGTACAGGTAGAGGCCTTGCGACGAGCTGATCACCCGTCCAAGGAGTCCTACCGATTGTGTAAGATCTAGAAAAACCGAAGTGAACGGAGAAGTTCATGGAGGTAGGCCTAGGTCCACTGGGGCTGTAGTGCCAAGGGGGAAAATGAAAAAGAAGTAATGACCCTTCTCATTAAGTATTTTTCTTCTGCTTCCGGTTACTTCTTCCGCCCTAAGTTCAAGTATTTTCATCCCTTTGTTCTCCGACACCCTCGGTATGTCCTTCCCCTAATGCAAAAGACCAAGTTTCGTAACCGTACAGGAGAGCAGGCAAAGCATGTGCTTTTTGTAATTTTAACCTTTATGCTGCCAAACTTTAGTTAAACATTATTTCACTATTGTAATAGGCATGGTGATCGCCCCTGTGGTCTAGTGGTTAGAGGTCCTGGCTACAGATCCAGAGGTCCTGGTTCGATTCCCGGCGCTACCAGACTTTTTTTCTGAGAATTAGGGGGTCTGGAACGGGATCCAATCAGCCTCGTGATGATAATTGAGGTGCTATTTCAAGGAAAAAGCGGCTCCGGTCTATAAAACCGAAATTAACGGCCGTGGGTATTCGTTGCGCTGACCACGTGACACCCCTTATCCGTAAAGTTGGCACTAACTTCGCCGACAAGCGGCGGCCGCTCGGTCAGTATAGTTTGCTAGCGGACTAAAACCACGGAGTTTTTTTATACTCATGGTAGTGTACAGAGAATATTATTGCCATATCATGTACTACTGATGAATACAGCTGCCGCGTAACACAAGGCACGTATGTTCTTGGACGAGGTGGCCTTGCAGTGGACCAATACGCTGTCCAGGAATCTTACCAGATAGTCAAAGATTCACATTTTCAGATTTGATTTTGAATCGTAAGAGGCCAGAGTGCCTAATTCGTGAAACGTGAAGGAGAAATATCCAATAAATCGGCAGATTGGCACAACCTCCGTTCCCAAAACATGAGGCAGAGTGATACAGCTTACTGAGCGCACGGTCAGCAGTCACACATCACGGTTGCCATTGACAATTCACTTAATATATGTGCAATGAGAGTGAATTTCCACAATTATATGTAACTCCGAGAGGCAGGGAATAAGAGGATTACAGTACGAACTTCGCGTAGCCTTTATCGCCTTCCCCTGCCCGTGATGCTTCGGATGAGCACGAGAATTGGCAACATCGCAGGACGCAGACTCAGAATGGAACGCTGAGGACCTCTGTCGGCAGACACCGAGGACTCGCCTCTATCGCCGTACTCCAGTTCCAGTAAAACCAAAGCCTAGAGCGTTGCTTGGCCAGTCTGAGAGTGTATCGTGTCGTGTTAGGTGGAGTTGAGTGTTGCAGGAGGTCCACTCGCATCTTTTTTTTTTTCTGCTTTCTGTCTTCAGTTCTTTTTTTTTTGGTGGTGTTAAAGAAGACGTTATCCCATCTCTACTGTGACTGGAAACCAAGAATTTCCAATGAAGTTGGAGGAACAGATTTGTGAGAACTACACAGGTCCTACAAGTATCCAGACTACTGCCTCTTGTTAGTGTATTGTGTAATGTGTAGTGGAGTTTTGTAATTGTGGGGAACCCTTAGAGACGTGTGAACAAAGGAGTTCATTCAGTGTGCGGGAAACCGACAGACCCGAAGGTCTGTTTAGTAGAAATATATATATTTTTTTTACGTGGAACTTCTCGCGGATACTATTGCCGGAGCATACCTAGGATGACTAGGCCAACAGAAACTCAGTGCGTCGGTAAGAAAGAGTGAAAAGTGTAGGTATGAAGTAAGCAGTATGTTTGCTTCTGTCCATGTGTGTTTGTATTGTGATGTGTACAGCAGTGTTTCGCCCGTCGCCCTAAGTGGTCACTGTTCCACCTGAAATCAGGTAGGAATTTGTGTGTTGTGGTGAAAGATTTAATTAGTAGGTGTATCAGAGTTGGTGGAGTAATGCACTGATTTAAAAGAATTCCTATTTACGTAAGTACGTACTTTGTGGCCCAAGAAATTTTCATTTTGTTGTCACAACTGGCCTTAACGAACGTAGGATGAAGTTTATTGGTGATAAAAGTGCGTCTGTCAGAAGCCTTCGCAGTGGAAGGTTTTGATAGGAAGCGACAGCAATGCCTGACGCGAAGCGCTTAGACCGGGTCGTTGTGAGCTGGCCCTGCAGCCCGAGGCTTAGGAAGCCAAGCGCTCTGCAGTCGCTTACACGAGATTAAGAGCCTAGGCCTAATATGCTGAGATTCGATCTGTCGTTTCTTGGTTGCATAAAAAAGTTTTCCAAAGTATTCTCTTCAGTCTCATCATCATATTGGAGATGAATATTATAACAACTTCATGGGTTTAAGGAATTCTATATTGTTTCCGCAAAGACGTTCCATAAAACGTAAAGCTAGCCTGTTTACTGGTGGTGAAAAGTAGTGTGATGTACAGTAATTTGGTCCCATATAATGTACGTTGTAAACGTTTGGTATTGTAGGTGTTTTCGGACACAATAGGCTATTCATTGTGGAAGACAAGCATTTCAAACTGCTGTTAATGGATAGAATCTTATTGGTCATATTTTCGTAAAACATATGTTAAAGCGCTTTTAGTGTGTTGCTGTAAATGTTCGTAACGTGTATAGAGCAAATGAGGTTGTAAACATTCATCTACCAAGTAGCCTACAAACGGTATCAGCCTTTATCGGCGCGGTGTGTCTAATGAAAGCTTTGTATTTGTTGTCTGTTTAATTTTTTGTGGTTTATTTAACGCTAACAGTAGTTCAGACTGTGTATGTCTGGCCAATAATAGATTGGACAGGATGTGAGGGAAGCTGTTACGGCTTAATTTGAGGTACTATCCTAGCAGTCGCCTGCAGGGACTGATGGTAATCATGAAAGTCCGTAGGCTGGATAGCCGGTTTGCAGGCGGCTATTTTAACCCAGAACCACCCGAATACGAAGTAGGAGTGGTATCTGATCGACCGTAAAGTTTGGTGAAGTTGTATTTCCATGTGTTTGTGTTTTTTTTTGGGTGGTGGGTGTGGGTGTGGGTTTAGAGGTTATTGTTTCGAGACACAGTTTTATGAAGTTTGTATAAAAATCTTCGGATAACGCTTTAGCGACTCTGCAGTCTGGATTCCTGTTTTCTGGGTTCAGAGGTTCGTGTTTCGAAATACAGTTTTATGGAGCTTGCAAAAAAATCTTCGGATAACGCTTTAGCGACTCTGCAGTCTGGATTCCTGTTTTCTGGGTTCAGAGGTTCGTGTTTCGAAATACAGTTTTATGGAGCTTGCATAAAAATCTTCGGATAACGCTTTAGCGACTCTGCAGTCTGGATTCCTGTTTTCTGGGTTCAGAGGTCCATGTTTCGAA